ATCTCATCCAAAAGGAAAAAAAAACTTAGCGACTGCTTCTTTATTAAAGCCTCTCGCTCTGGTAGCTGACGTAACCTCAGGAATTCTATACAAATCTTTGATTGAATCTTATTAGTAGTTCTAAAAGAAATCTTTGGATTTCTAAATCATATTTAGTAGGCTAAGCAAGGGTACAATGGTCCCCTTAAAATCTGATCAAATACAAAAAAGAAATTTACATGAGTGACATCTGATAATCAAAGAAATTGCAACAGATATGAAATAAACAGAAAAAATCCTTTTTAAATTGCATTAAAAAAATTCTACTTAATTCAACCAAAACGCCTAAAAACACAACTTTTGCGAGCACGAAATCTTCAATATTACATGTTTTTTTATGGGTTATATTAAAACTAGCCCATTATGCTTCGCACTTTTTCACAGCTTCGTACATAAGTGGCACAATTAGTGCTGAATACAATAAAGAAAGCTAAACGGCGGTTTTATGAAAATTATGAGACTACTTTAGGTGACCATTTTACCCGACTTTCCTCTATCCATCGTTTTTTTTGTGTACCAATTTATATTTATATGAGTTAGCGTTTAGTTGTAGAAAATCTAAGAGTATATCCTGCCAAACTCGTGACCAAAATATATAGGACAAACTAATTGACGAATTTTCTCCAGAATGGGCGGACGCTAACTAAGTCTTTAAAGAACCGTTTTTACTTTTTCGAAATTTTTTGGAAAATGAAAAAATTTGTCTGTTTAAAACTGTAATTTTATATTTTCTACCTATATTTCTTACACTATAACGTGATAATTGTAATAAATCAAATTTCCGAGTTTGATTCCCGAGAATTAAAAGGTCTAACAATAATTGAACAAATTTTTTCATCGATAATCTTTCCTCTGTCCATTTTCAAACCACACCAATATCGGGAGACTTCAAAATTCATAAAATGCATCTGTCACTAATTAAGAGTTGTGATTTGATTTTTCAAAGCCGCCTGCAGTTCTATCGTAATCATAACAAAATTATATTGGATTCATCTACGAGAGGAAACGAAATTTTTCGTGTTTTTGATATTAGAAATGCCAAAAGCCAAAGTTTATACAAATATCCAATTAAATTGTTTTTTTTTTCTATTGAATATTAAGCATTAAGCGTATAGTACATAGAATTTGTTATATTGACCAAAAAACTGTTATTTTAATAGTGGAGCCAATTGAAATGGGAAGTGTCTCGTAGTTTTAGTAAAAAAAATACCAAAAATATCATTACTGTAAAAAAAAAACAAATACAGTAGAAATCAAACCGTAAAGTCAGTAATTATAACCATTTATTTGATATTAAGTATATAGTTTTTCATGAAATAATATGTTTTTTATGCTTACGTAAATTATAATTATTGCATTGAATTAATTTATATATTACGTAAATTTAATTCAGGCGAATTATTCAAATTAAAATTGGTGCATCCATTATAGCATTAAGGTTACTGTTACGTCTGTATTTCATACTATACATAAAACCATTCCATTTTCTCTATATAATTTACTAATTATGTAATATTGCTAGCGGCTAGATTGGAATTCTGATGAATGATGTACATAATATGTTTAAACATATGGCATCGTGAAAAAAGTGCTTATAAACTTGATTCAAACTAATTAAACCGGTTTTCAAAAGTAAATAAATACTATAATATTTTTTTTGGTAATAATCAATAATAGTAACTAATAATAATTTCAAATTAAAACAGAAGAATATGGTTAATATTAAAAATCACTGAGTAGGGTCCACTGTCCAGGATACGGACGAAGACCATAATGGTGATAAACACGAATTCAATGAACATGCTAATTGGGTAATGTAACTTTTATTTTTGGAGAAACTAAGTCTAACCCTTGTTAAATCTAATTATGGGATAATTAAAACTGTGAATACGCTGCTACAATGAAATGAAATATTTCTGTAACTATTTCACTATGCGTATAGCAACGCCACATTTCCCGCTGACAAAACTCTTTCCTGTCCGTGATTTCTCAGCGACAAAATTATGAAAGATCCGTCACAAAGGTCTGGTAATTCTATTGTTGTCAGTTTGACAAACGTCATTGGGGCGTAATTAATTTTGGACAGATATAATGAATTCAGACGAAAAATCAAGATTTGGATGTCAGTCATTTGAAGAAATCAAAAAATTAGTTTCGGAAAATGTCACATTGAAGGTTCAAAAGCTCTATTTGGATACAATTTCCGGAGTTTCTACAGTTGAGAAACTTGACGCTTGAAAGAAGTACTACCATAACGGAACTAGCAAAAATTCTCGAGGATTATGCCTTTAACATAAAAAAAGCAATGGCGAAGACTATAAAGAGTAGTCAATGTGGAATACTACAGCCAAAATGGTACAAGAAAAATATTTTACGGAGTACGGAATAAAAATCGACCCTTTCACAGATGCATCTTTCAAATGTGCAAGATTGGCCAAAGATACCAAGCAGACTCAGCTTTAAAGTGTTCAAGAAAAAAGCAAACTCAGTTTAAAAGCATTATCCACTGAAAAACTATTAAAAATCATCCAAAGCTACGACAAGGAATCCCCGATGGAGCACAAAAAAGTTTGTCTGTCTTATCGTATGTCCAGCGAACTTCCTCTTAAGTTTTGCTATCTGCGTTGATACATCGGGCACTTTTGTTTTATTGCGGATCCAAGTATTTCTCTTCTTGTCTGATAGCCTGATGTTCAGCATTTGCCTTTCCATGGGTCTTTGCGCTATTTTTTCCATGTTTTCCTTTGTAAACGTCCAAGTTTGAGAACCGTAGGTGATAGCAGGAGGTATACATTGGTTGCAGACTCTTGTCTTTAAATATTGAGGGTATTTTCAATTTTTTAGTATATAGGACAGTTTTCCGCAGGATACCCAAGCCAACCGTATCCTTCTCTTTATTTCTTCGGTCTGATTTTCTTTATTTAACTAGTTGTCCCAAACATACATATTGTTTCACTTGTTCTATAGTTTTTTGTGCAATTGTAATTATTAATTCTTCTGGTTGGTTGGAAGTAATTTCCGTTTTATTGTAATTCATTTGTAGACCCATTTTTATTGATTCGCTGTTTAATTCATCCATCATATTTTGTAATTATTCCCTTTTATCTGTTATTAATACAGTGTCGTCTGCATATCTCAAGTGATTCAAGTATTGGCCATTTATGTTAATACCCCTTTTTTCCCATTGTAATTTCCTTATGTCTTCCAAAGCTTGATTGAATAGTTTGGGTGATATAGTGTCACCCTGTCTGACTCCTCGCTGTATCTTAATAGGCTCCATTTATTTAACTATTTTAATAAATGTTGTTGCTTGATCATATATATTGAAAATTAAGTCCGTATATCTATAGTCTATTCTCCCATTTTGTAAAGAGTTCTTTACTGCCCAATTTTCCACCTTATCAAATGCTTTTTCAAAGTCTACAAATGCCATATACATTGGGATTTGATATTCGTTGACCTTTTCAATTAATATTTTTATCGTAGGCAGATGGTCGCTTGTACCGAATCCTTTTCTAAAACCGGCTTGCTCTCTTGATTGGTAATTTTAGTTGTTAATCTGTTTGTTAGTAGTTTAGTTCTTATGGGCCTATAGTTTTTCAGATCTTTTCTATCGCCTTTCTGAAATAGTAATATCCTCGTTCCATGTGGTGGGTATTTGTTTTGTGTTCAATATTTTATTCATTAGTACAAGGACTTCCACTGTGTTTTCTCCCCATTTTTTAGCATTTCCACAGTTATTCCATCTTTCTGGATGTAGGTCAGAGTTATCGTTCTTTATTTTCAGTTGTAACTGATTACGGATTTCTTTTGTTGGTTTTTGTTCTGTTTTATAAAGATTTGTATAATATTCGTGCGTTTTCTGTAAAATTTCGTTTATATTGTTGGTCTCCACTCCTTCTTTGTCTTTATTCTATTAATTTGTATCTTTCCCAGGTTCTGCTTTAAGCACTTCATGTTTCTATTTTTTTTTTCAATTGATTTCTCTATCTTTTCTTCCTGAACTCTCCGTTTATACTCCTTGGTATTTTTTGTACACTTATTATTGTTAAGAAATAAATAAGCATTATGTTTCGTTGATATGATGCAGTAATTGTCTCGTGAAATAGTCTTGCCAAATATCATTCGAGAGAAAATTATTTACCGTCAAAATTGTCTTCTGGTTTTATTCAAGTTTGTTGCCTTTTGGCAATTTACGCTTATGAAATTTTGACAAAATCACTCGGCTGACGTCTCGTGATTTAACTGTCAAAATTTAATTCGTAAAAATTGCCAGGCAACATTTTCCCTCTTACGATATTATATACCAAAAAATCATTACTTCTATCGCCAAAATACTATCACAGAATAATAAACAATCCAAATGCCCACTCTCAGATGTCGCCTTTGAAGTTTTTCAGCAAGCACGCCATGTTTTAGAAGGAAACACATAACACAGACATATAATTTGTGAGGTTATGTAATTGTTTATATTTATGTTTAATTATATTATATTTATGTTATTATATTTAACAGTGTTAATATAATTGTATCGTATGTCTATGATTGCCGTAAGTCAATTAAACCGGGTTAATTTTTCTATGCACATCACATAAACAACACTGGTTCCCTTTAAAACATGGCGGAACGTCTGCGCGAACGAGATGCGCGTACTTAATTTTCCATGGAGAGTGGGCATTCTGTGTGTTTATTATTGTGTGACACTATATTGCAGAGAGCTAGCTATGTTGAACATACTCACTGTGTGGCGTATTTAGTTTTTAATTTTTTAATTATTGTTTAGGTTTAAAAAGGTTATGAAATATTCCGTCTTTATTGAATTATTCTTGAACGACTTAAAATAGCATCCAAACGATTTGTATTTAATGAATTGAATGATGATTTATTACACTTTGCATTTTAATACATTCTACATTTTTTGGCATTATCACACATAAGTAATTCTGGCTCTTTCTTTTCAGGATATTATATGAATCTCAATCAGAATCCTAGGACGTTATTGCCGAAGTTCTTCGGACTTTATTGTTATCAATGTAATAGTAAAAATGTAAGACTGGTCGTCATGAATAATTTATTACCTAGTAGCATTACTATGCACCAGAAGTATGATCTTAAGGGCAGTACCTACAAAAGAAAGGTAAGGATATAAAATTCTTATACATTATTGCAACATACCTGAGAAAGTTACCAATTTAATACCCTCTATCCTTATAGAAAAAACATGTCAACAGTCAAGTAAAAAACGGCTTCGACCACCAAAGAAATCAATAAATACTAACAAATGGCGCAAGCCACAAAAAATACTAACAGAGAGGCGCATACTCTCTAGCGCAGTGTCATTCAAAATTCAATACAATTGCTTGCTTGGCATACAGTCTTGTCACCATCAACTTATAAATAGTTGTGATGTTGAGTTTATTCATCAAAATTTTTCTGGTGGGTCCTTATCTTATTGGGTCTCTACCGCTTATTCCCTCATGCCAAATAAACATCAGTGCTTAATTATTGTCCCCCATATGAACACCTAGATTGTAACATGACAACTGTGCAAGTAATACATTTGAGAGTGTGTCAAGGTAGGTATAGAGAAAACCTGTTGGAGATCCATAGAAATAGTGCAGTACTGGCTGTTTGGTAGCCTCGATTTCTCATGTTCCATCTTCATCACATGTCGAGCCTGCTCAGCTTTTCTATGGTGTAGTTCTATTTTTTGTTGATTTACAGCCTTGCTACTGGTAAATTTTGTATTTGAATTTTAAGTAAGTCACAAGTGGCACTAGTGTCTTGTCGAGGTTTTTGAAAGCGAATAGTAGGAAAATTTTTTTTATATTATCAGTATAATGACGCAAGGTGATTTTAGTAGGGGGATACAGATCTTTAAAAGCCTTATGTAGTCTACTATAGCTTAGATCTTCACTAAGATATAATTAATTACTGTTTCTCTCTCTCGTAAAGTGGCTTTCCTGTTTAGGTAATGATTCAATATGACTTTTGATGATAGATTCACCCTCATGAGTATACTTCCTAAATTTTTTCTGATTTCCTCTTAGTTCTACGTATACTAAATTACCTTGTTTTTTTGCTTTTACCAATGTTCGTTTCGTTATATTATGGAATTCTACAAAGGTCTTTTTACAAACCTGTACAGTTTCACCACTTCCGTTTGGAATAGTAAAATAAATCGAAGCTTGGCGCCTACTTGCACCAGGTTCAGAAGGATTGTAAGATCCGTGCCGTCTCCGCTTTTCTTGACAAACACTCATCAAGGCCATTAAATAAGTGTTTTGTTTAACGTTGTCACCAATTTCATAGAAACTCTTGAACAGTAGTAGTTTTTGGTCGAATGTAATTCTTCTGCAATTATTTTTGCAGTTACAGGATACCTAGAAATAAATAAAAGGCATTAGAGGCTTTATAGAAATGCCAGTAATAACACTTTTGTTTACTAACTCTACACATTATATCGGCAACAGATTTAAATGCTCTAAGATCATTCATGTAACCTATTAAATCACCCTTGTAAATTGTTTGAAATTAAACTTAAATTTAATAATATAGTAATAGAAAATTATCTATGTAAATACAACCTTGCCTACCTCATTTGGTGGAGGTTCTTTAGGTGGAGTGATTTCATTTTTAAAGTTTTGGTATTGCTTGCCCTCTAACCGTAACTTTTTTGAAATTCCACTTCTTTTCCCGACCCTTTCTTACGTCGTGTTTTTTTATGTCCAACATTAACACTGCTACATACACTGTTGTCCATCGTAAACAATTAAATACACAATCCTAACCTCAAATAAGACAATCTCACATGTCACACAGCACTACTGCAGTTTACCCGTGCGTCTTAGCGCGCTGGCAGATGCCTGTCACTTGACACGTACACGATCTTTTGGCGTTCTTTAGAACTACTTCTGAGTAGTTGTGAAATTAGCCCACTTTATACAGCATCGGAATTGGCACATATACCACTTTTAAGCACTGATACAATTATATAACTAGTGTAACGTTTTTTTCATTTTTCTGTCTCAACTAATTTTACGTGAATTACTAACTTGTTTTCCTAATTTTCTTGAAAGTCTTTTATTCATGGATCTTGTAGTACTTATTCGTGTTTTTAGCGTATAAAAATTATTTCTAAAAAATATGTCTACCATTTATAAATGTACATAAGGGTATTAAAAACTGTTCCCAGTTTATTTTATTGATACTTTGACCTAGTTCCTGCTTCACAATCGGCATCGCACAAATAATTAATAGAATATTTAATAAACTACATGGAAATGTAAAATTGGCTGATTAATTAAAATTAATTTTGTTTTCGAAAGCGAATCAATTTTACAATAAAGCGTTCATGAAATATGTTCGATATTTTTACTGTGCTATGAGTTTATGCAAATGTAATCAACAAAACAATTAAGCTTTTTGTTTAATTTTATATTATTACAATTAAGTTATGGATAGTGAGATCAATAATATCCGTGTCACCCTAATCTCCATCACATGACAAGTATCTCTAATAGTATTTTTCAACATTTGAAACAAACTGAAACAATTCCGTGTATTTTATTATGTAGCCTTTATTAAATAAAAATCACTACCCGAAACTACACCTACATGACGGTTGGTCTACAAACACCAGCTACCTTCTGATGCCGCAAATGAAAATTAACTTAATTGATGGATTCGACCGTTACTTCATGGAAATTCATTTTATGTAACAATAAAACACTGAAAACTTTGTTTTCAAACTTCCACAAAATTTATTTCAACTATTATCACTACAGCTGTTTCGGCTGATAGCCTTTCTCAAGTGATCTATTTTTGGCATGCGTTTACAATTTATAGTCTCTAATGAAATAGGTTGAGGAGGGGAGAACTGTTTGTCTCAAGTTGGTCATTCAGAATTATATTTGTGTTTTTTAATTTATTGATTTCCATAGATTCTAACAAAGATAGCTTAAGGCCTTTATTTTGAATGTGAAAGAATTTTAAATTTGTCATTAAAAGAATGATTATGATCTAGAAGGTGAAGTGCGTATGTCGAATCTGTTTTTCTATTCTTGAAAGCCCTTTTATGTTCTGCTATTCGTTTTTCAAAGTTTCTACCAGTTTGACCGATGTAAGTTTTTGGGCAGTCGCCACATTGAAGTTTATACACACCACTATTTAAGTGTTTTTTATTTTGGCTCTTGTTATTTTTAATATATTTACCTAGGTTGTTATTTGTTCGGAAAGCTGGTGTTATTCCTTTCTTTTTTATATGTTTGGCAATTTTTGTTGTTATTTTGCCTGTATATGTAATCGAGCAGAAGGTACTGGGTTTTTTCTCTGGTGGTGGAAATACTATTTTCAGGGCTTTCTTGTGTAGTTTTTGATTTAACATTTTGTTGTTAAAAACTGTTAAAAACAAATTCTGTCTCAAAGTTGTCTTTTGACATCGGATATTCTGTTAATCTATGTAACATACTATGATAAGCTGCCAGCTTATGTTGTGTTGGATGGGATGATGAGTTGTGTATAGTCGTGTCAGTATGGGTAGGTTTGTGAAATATGGAGAAGTCATGTTTATTTTGAAGTCTGCTAATTTTTAAATCTAAAAAATGTATGCATTGATTTTGTTCTGATTCTATTGTAAATTCAATATGACTATGAAATGAATTAATATACGATGAAAATTGGTCGAGTTGCCTGTTAGTTCCTGTGAAACATACCAGTACGTCGTCTACGTATCTCCACCAATATAAAAACTGTTTGAATACGGGATGTTTTGAAATCTTTGTCTCTAGATGATCCATAAAAATATCTGATAGCAATGGGCTTAGAGGATTACAGGACTTATAATGGGTAAGCTATCTTTGTTAGAATCTATGGAAATCAACAAATTAAAAAACACAGATATAATTCTGAATGACCAACTTGAGACAAACAGTTCTCCCCTCCTCAACCTATTTTATTAGAGACTATAAATTTGTAAACCCAAGCCAAAAATAGATCACTTGAGAAAGGCTATCAGCCGAAACAGCTGTAGTGATAATAGTTAAAATAAATTTTGTAGAAGTTTGAAAACAAAGTTTTCAGTGTTTTATTGTTACAGAAAATTAACTTTTTCAATGACAATGACATTGTCATGGGACATACTGTTTCCGGAAATTTAAATCTTTAAGTATCTAATATGTAATTTAAACACACCCTCCGCTTGGTGATGAGGTTATTTAGCAAGTACTTTTTTTTATTTTAGGCTTCAAAGGCAGAACGAGCCAAAAGAGCCCCGACTTATAAAGATCTGGACTTCATGGAGCATCATCCTGAAGGTATATTCATGGAGGCGGATACTTATAATGCTTTAACGAAAACAATTCATAGAGACTGTAGAGTATTAGAAAGTTTTAAAATTATGGATTATAGTTTATTATTAGCAATACATAATTTGGATCAGGCGCAGAAAGAAAAAATGGTAAGTTGTCGTGTTACGAGATTTTTTAAATAATTTCGTGGTAGTAAAACAGAGATCGCGCGAATTCGTATAATTCGACAAAGTCTTTGTCTCGGCACCAGCAACTTCATGTGGAGTCGTACGCTGCCATGTTAGCAAATCCACTGGTAACTTTAACATATTAATATATAAGATCAAATTATGTAAACTCTATGTAAACAAATTACTTTTAACGGGTTTTTACCTAGATATTTAGTGGCTCAAAACATGTACACGGAACATGGATTCCGAAAACGTTTTGTTGTTATGATATAGCCCGATTGTGTTTTTAAATTATATACCATTTATAAAGGAAAATCCACAAGGAAAAATTCCTGTAGCTGGCTGTATACCACGTATAACAAAAAGAGGTTAATCTTTGTAAATGGGTATATTTATTTAAAAAACCCTTAAAAGGGCCACATCAATAAAACAAACGTTTTCGGACTACACAGTCCATCATCAGGTTATTAAAATCGAAAATGCCTAAAAATAAGTATAAACCATTTAGTTAAAATAAACGAGATTTTGAAATTTTGACTATGGTTGAAAAGCAAAAGATGGTTATACTTACTAGGTCATAATGCCTGAGCCACCAAAATATTAGGGTAAAAACCCTTTAAATTACATTTAGTTGTGAAATGTTGTACATTGTGTTATAAAATAACTGTGATGTTCTATATTAAATTAAATTTGACTAAAGGTAACACATGGCTCAATTGGGTTCCAGAGCCGGGTGAGAGGGAACCTCTGCACTCGGAGAACAACGTGGAACTGATTGACAAGATACTTTTGAAGGATGAAGATAACAGAATGTCAATGCAACAAAAACTATAAAAGTTGTACATAGTATTACTACAGCCAAAAGATTCAACAAGTTTTGATGATTTTAAAAATAACAACAATCTAGGTGTTGGGATTTAAAAACTTTTTATTTATTAATTTAGGGTATAAAAGATGTCAAATCAATGATGGTTTTATAGTCATGATTAATATAATGACCTGTGCCTTAGGCAACTTATGTTGCTTTTCGTCGTATGGGATGTGGTCTAAAGTGTATTTAATTTTGGGTTAGCTTGTATTTATGAAATTTATCCTTTTATGTTTAACACATCTAGGACAAGGTAAAAATTAAATAACAAATATTTGAAGCTAATATCAGACCTCATGTTTAAATGACTTTATTTAAGAATGCTCCTATGGTGAAAAATTAATAAAATTAAGTTTAGTAAGATGGAAATCTACAGGCTGAAGAAATTGAAGTAGTAACATATGTGATTGAATTTAAAATTGAAGAGACTGGGTTCCTCAGAGACTAATGAGAATGAAAGTAAAAGAAATGAAAGGAGAGGGGGGGTTGAAGGAGAAAAGGAGTTGATCAACAATTAGAGATAATAAGGGTCCTTTATTATCTCCTTTTCTCCTTTAACTCCTTTTCTCCTTCAACCCCCCCTCTCCTTTCATTTCTTTTACTTTCATTCTCATTAGTCTCTGAGGAACCCAGTCTCTTCAATTTTAAATTCAATCACATATGTTACTACTTCAATTTCTTCAGCCTGTAGATTTCCATCTTACTAAACTTAATTTTATTAATTTTTCACCATAGGAGCATTCTTAAATAAAGTCATTTAAACATGAGGTCTGATATTAGCTTCAAATATTTGTTATTTAATTTTTACCTTGTCCTAGATGTGTTAAACATAAAAGGATAAATTTCATAAATACAAGCTAACCCAAAATTAAATACACTTTAGACCACATTCCATACGACGAAAAGCAACATAAGTTGCCTAAGGCACAGGTCATTATATTAATCATGACTATAAAACCATCATTGATTTGACATCTTTTATACCCTAAATTAATAAATAAAACGTTTTTAAATCCCAACACCTAGATTGTTGTTATTTTTAAAATCATCAAAACTTGTTGAATCTTTTGGCTGTAGTAATACTATGTACAACTTTTATAGTTTTTGTTGCATTGACATTCTGTTATCTTCATCCTTCAAAAGTATCTTGTCAATCAGTTCCACGTTGTTCTCCGAGTGCAGAGGTTCCCTCTCACCCGGCTCTGGAACCCAATTGAGCCATGTGTTACATTTAGTCAAATTTAATTTAATATAGAACATCACAGTTATTTTATAACACAATGTACAACATTTCACAACTAAATGTAATTTAAAGGGTTTTTACCCTAATATTTTGGTGGCTCAGGCATTATGACCTAGTAAGTATAACCATCTTTTGCTTTTCAACCATAGTCAAAATTTCAAAATCTCGTTTGTTTTAACTAAATGGTTTATACTTATTTTTAGGCATTTTCGATTTTAATAACCTGATGATGGACTGTGTAGTCCGAAAACGTTTGTTTTATTGATGTGGCCCTTTTAAGGGTTTTTTAAATAAATATACCCATTTACAAAGATTTATAAAGGATTTTATTAAATTTTTTGTGATACATGGTATACAGCCAACTCCAGGAACTTAGTTTCCTTCTGGATGTTATAGATCTGTCACTGCAATTTCTTTATATTAGTTCTCGCAGGCACATCGCTATAGCATAAATTTCTGCTTGGAAGCCAGTAGACTTGTGAAATCTAAACTATGGCAAAATTTATAAGAGATCGCAAATGTTTCGTCTTAGTTCTTATTCGTTAATGAATTATATTTACCTACCTTTGTTTAATTTTGTATTTTAGGAACGAAAATCTCAAAGTAACATAGATAGGTTAGTACCTGAGGGCCAGCTAGGCGATACTAGTTCGGCTCTAATTCTCGAAGAAAGGGAGAGAGAAAAAGAAGACAGAATGGGAGCTGCAGGTGCATTAAACCGTAGCAAATCGATAAATAGACAAAGGCTGGTTGCACATTCCACTGCTATGGAGAGTATTCAGGCTGAATCTGAACCTATAGACGAGGATGACGATACACCGTGAGTTATTTTTATTTATTATAATTTAAAAAATATTTATGTTTATCTATAAATTTTTATATATTTTATATATCTATAGTCCTATATGTAAATTATCAAAAATTTTGGTTTACTGAGATGGGTATAGTACATTTTGGAGAAAAAAAGTCTTCCAGTTTGTACCAAAAAAGGCCACTTAATTGTGTAATATCGAAATAGCCCCACGTTGGGCGCCGATTAATTTGTGTAACATATAAACGCAACTTGATTGTATAATATGAAAACATGTACCAAGTGTTGAACTATGCAGCTATGCCTAATGAAATATGGTAAATGCTCTGATCTTTGACACACGGTTACGCAAACAACGATACTAAGGTTCGGGCTTCAATCTGGTAGATGTGTCTTGGTCGGTGTTAGACAGAACTAGACTATAAGCTATTCGCGGGTGAGATTAGCAAAAAGAAGAACACGAGCCCACAGAAGAAAGTTATGTGGATAGAGTCACGAATCGAGGTGTTAAGAAGAACGAGATAGTAGAAAGAGGCTTTAACCACAATTAAAATTTAAAAAATGCAATATCTGGTACATGTTATGAGGAGCAAGCAATATAACTTGCTGCATTTAATAATACAAGCAATAATGCAGAATAGGAGTCGTAGAAGAAGACGCATCTCCGGGTTGAAGAATTTGAGAGCTTGGTTTAAGCTGATCTCTTTAGGACAGCGGTATCGAAAGTGCGAATTGCCGTGATGATTGCTCACCTTCTTAGAGAAGATTGTAGAAGAAAAGAAGAATGCTAATTACTTTACATCTGTATGGCAATAATATTCAATCTGGCAATTTTCTTAACTTTGCTTTTTTGGTACAAACAAACTTTATATTGATAATGTCAAAATATAACGGTCATATCATTAGGTGGAGTTTGTTGAATGGATAATTGTTCAGTTCTCGTGACATTAGGCTTATTATATTATGTCTTAAGGCAGTGATAACTGATCATGTTATTAAAATTTTAAATGAGAAAGTTATAAATATAACAAAACTAATAGATCAATTTAATTTTATGATATGGATAGGTAACTTAATTTTAAAATAAAATAAATGATTGTTTGTGTTACTTATGTAATACAGTATTCTTTTTGTTTTAGACCCGGCGGTATTCCGGCAAGAAACGCAAAGGGTGAACGTCTTCTCTTATTTATAGGAATAATTGATATTTTGCAGAGTTATAGATTAAAGAAAAAATTAGAACATACGTGGAAGTCTATGATACACGATGGTGTAAGTATTTATAAAGTATAATATTAATTAACTATAAAAAATTACTTTAAAATGTTAACCAAATAATAAATATATTAAATATTGTTATACAAGACAGCAAATGTATTCCGTTGTATGATAAATTATTCAAAAATAAAAGAAAACATAGGAATGACCAAAGAAAAATTGTTTAGTATAATGAAAATACTTCAATTCATTAATGGATCATGGAAAAACGAGGAAATGCTGTTTGTTGTCCTACAAACATCCCAGCTACAGTTTGCCAAAACTAGGAATGACTTTGAAAGTCCTGCAATCGACTCGACCACTTAATGTGCAGCAAAATGACCGGAAATGATCTAGTAGGAGAAATAGTCTCGACCTGTAAACTACGTTTAACAATCAGATAGTAGAGTACTGGCGTTCTCTCATCTCTTTATCTCCATATACTTTCTCTGTCTGCTCTCTGCGAACATGGGCAAAATTACAAAAGTCATTCCCAGTCTTGACGAGTGGATTTCGAGGATGTCAGAAGGTATGATCATATCGAAACCCCAATAAAAAGTGAGACTATGATGATGAGGTCAAAAACGGATCAGCAATTGCCAATGGCCAGTAGCCTGATTTTTCACCAAAATTATTTAAGTTTATTTGTTAATTATACTTCACAAAATTACCAGGATGATTTCTGATAAATATACAAATATTTAATTCCTAAAGGTTTTTAATATTAAACCAATCTAATAATAGTAACTGGAATTAAATATATAATATCCATTATTTCAAGCTGTATTATCGGTACCATTAATGTACTACAGGAGTATAAACTTAGTCTGAGGCATTCCAGAATTATCTATTTTCTAGACCCATTAAATTCTTTACCTCACACGTCGTTGACGGAGTACATACTTCAGATGGTTTCCGGTTCTTTATGAGTTGATGGAAGTATCTAATTGTTAATCGGATCATACATTGTGTTTTAATCCGACTCACTGCGCCAAATCGGATCAGATACGACTTCATAAATCGCGCATAAAATAAATGTTTTCGAACGTTTTCCGTACTATGCTGCTAGTTGAAGTCATCGTAAACTATATTTCGTTCATTTTTTTTAACGTGCGGGTAAATTTTTTACTTTTCTAGTTCTTTCTTTATACTGTTAAATACGATATTTTAATTTCACGTGTTAATTTTTCTTTCAGGATACAGTATCTGTACATAGACCTAGTTTTTATGCTCAAAGATTCCAGAAATTCATGTCACAGACTGTGTTTAAGAAGATTCCATCACGTAAGTTCATAATCATTTCTATTTTAATTATTTTATTTTTACTAACAAAGAGGTATTATATATAAACATTTAATGCGAAAGCTTACACTACTAACCATTAATTACTTGTGTTATTTCAGCCCATGAACTTTTTTGATAATGCTCTTACCTTCATAACATAAGTAGTTTTCGTTCAAAATATAACTCATAGTATTTGGGTGATAATCTGATAATTGGGTAATATTAAAATAAAGTATAGTAAAGTAAAAGTCAAGTTTAGGTAGTATTAAACAAACCATTAAAGTTGTTTAAACAGACAGAAGCATTTAAATTTAAGTAGTGTAGCTGGCGGTGTGCTGGACCACTCTGGTAACAATGTCATCAGGGTCTGGTGCTCATGTACGCTAGGTTCATTCTTGCATTGGTACAAGACGTTCAAGAAGTGATCGACAATAACCAGAGGGTTATAGAAATTGACTTATAGACTTACCGTTTAATCTGTTCTTCTTTTCCGAAGAAAAGGATTGTTGAATTGAAATGTTGATTCCGAAGAAGTGATCGAAAATTACCAGAGGATTAAAGAATTGACCGCTTAGCGCTTGATATTTTGTTCTGTCCGGAAGAAGTGGTAAATTGAATGGGTAAAATAGTTAGCAGGGTCTGGACCATTTTGGTAGCAATGCCACTAGGGTCTGCCACTCACGCGCTCAAGTCCATTCTTTCCCGAAGAAGAGGATTAGTAGTAAAATAGTTAGCGGGGTATTGGACCATTTTGGTAATAGTGTCATCGGAATTTGCCGCCTACGTACGCTATTCAGTCTTGCATGTGTACAAGATGTGCAAGAAGTACTCGAAAATGATCAGAGGGTTAGAGGAATTGACCGTTTACCGGTTGATTTCTTTTTTTTAAAGAGTGTTTATGTCCTGTGTCGTTTGTATGACGTATTACCTCTACCACGTCATATGATCTTGTTCAGCTCTCGAATAGGCCTTGAAGGTGAATAGGTTGCTCGGATAATGATTTCGTATTTCCTAGTGCTGGTTCATATTCGGTACCAGATGTTGAATTTGATCGGTTGTTTCGGAATTTTAATATTCTCTCTAAATTTGTGAATAGTAGCGTGAGGTTCTACTAAGCACATTTGCTTATTCGAACACATTTTATAATTGTCTTGTATGATATTATACAACTGCTCATGTTTCTTAGTGACCTAGGCGATAGTCGTGATTCGTCAGACGAGTGTGTACGTTACGTTTTGTTTTTTCAATGTATACTGAACCACAGCAGGAAATGCGGTAAATTCCTTGGAACTGCCTCACCAAGAGATACAGGTGAAGGTGGAAGAAGGTGAAGGTTCCACAGTAGGATCATACGAACTTAGTGACACAACTACAGAAAATATCGTCTCATATAATTATCAAAATATCAAATACTTCTTTTAAAATAAAATTGTGGTCAGTTCCCAGTAAAAATAGTAAATGTTATTAAGATGCCACAAGAAAATAGCTTCAGAATAATGACATAGCATTCTGCTGAGTAGCTAGTAGAGTAAAACATATCAGAAAGTATTTGTCACATATATTATTCAACGCTTACTCTGAGAAAATCGTATTGTTGAATCAGAAACGGCAGAAATATGTCGTGACCTAACCTAACTTGAAATAAGTTCACTTAAATCGGCTGACAAAAAAGGAAATGTACTCATAATAACTCGAATTGAGTCCCAATGGGGGCGAACAGAGAAAAAGATTTCCGCTGAATTAGGGGAAACTTATATTCTCATTTTGAGACAATCTAGAACTACCGGGGATTAACATGATGCTTTATTTGGCATTAACTAGGACTACGTTTGTATCAATCTTGAACTAACCTTGAATTGACTTTGGACTAACGTTGGAATTAACTCTGGACTATCGTTTAGCAGTAGCCCCTTAATGTTATTGTTATATTTTTTAGATTTATAATACACAGTTTCCAAATGCAACGAAAATTATATTATGGATTTAAACCAGTCGACAGAACCTGGTGAGTACTCGACGTTTATAAATAGCACGCATATTTGAGAAGCACCATTCATCAGCGAGAAACAGTTTCGACCATTACAACATCGCCTTCAATCATGTTTACCATAGTTGCAAATGAAACGCCACGTCGAGAAAAAATAGAAAAAAATACAACAAATAAACCCACAAAAGAATATATCTTTTATATAACATTATCTCTATATAACAGTAAACGAAAACCGGCTCTGAAAAACGGCGGAACATTTCCATTCAATTGCCCAGAGTTGGATATGATAAAGCTCAATACATTTCGAAGAAGTGTTACCAAAGGCCATAATAGACCTATAATATGGTTATAATCTATGATCATAAGCCTTCTTCTTCTTCGTCTAGCCATTCACGTCCACATCTGATCATAAGCCTCTTCAAGTCTTCCTTTCCATTGTTTTTTATTGTACGCTACTTGTAGCCAGTTTTTCCCGGCAGTCCTTTTCAGATCATCTGTCCATCTCATAGGAGGTCTGCCTCTGGGTCTTTTGTGTTGGTATGGTCTCCAGGTTAAAATTGATCTGTGCCATTTGTTTAGATCGCTCCTAGCTACATTTCAACTTTAATGATTTTTGCACCACATCGGTGACTTTGGTTTTCTGTCTTATCCATGTGTGTTTTCTTGTCCTTAAGTGATATACCTAGCATTGCTCTTTCCATCGCGTGTTGAGTGACTCTAAGTATATTCATATTCTTTTTTGTGATTGTCCATGTTTGTGCCGCATAAGTTAATATCGGAATAATGCATGCATCAAAAACTTTAGATCTAAGATGTAAATGAATTTGTTGATTTCTGAGTATATAGTTCAGTTTACCGAATGCTGCCCAAGCTAACTTTCTTCTTCTTTTTATTTCTTCCGTTTGAACTTCCCTATTTAGGATTATTTTTTGTCCCAAGTACCTATATATATATTCTTCAACCTTTTCTATAACTTTATCGTTTATTATTGTCACGGTGTCTTCGGAGTGCATGCCTTTTGTTTTGTTTAAATTCATTTTCAGTCCTATTTTAGAAGATTCGGTATGTAGTTCTAAAAGCATGGTTTGCATTTCTTGTAGGTCAGTAACTATCAGGATTGTGTCATCTGCAAATCGTAGATTACTGAGGTAGCGGCCATTGATGTTTATTCCCTTATATTTCCAATTTAGGTTTTTAAAAACGTCCTCAAAAACTAAGGTGAACAGTTTGGGTGATAAAGTATCTCCCTGTTTGACTCCCCTGTTTAATGGTACAGGGTTTGTGTGTTCATCTTCATTTAGGTACTATGTAGCTGTAGCTTGGTTCATAGTTTCTTTTATTAAGTTAATATATCTGCTGTCTATTCTACAATTTTGCATTGCGTTTATTACGGCAGTGTGTTCTATGGTATCGAAAGCTTTTTCGTAGTCTACAAATGCTAGGAAAACTGGAAACTTGTATTCGTTACATTTTTCTATTAATATTTTTGTGGTTAACAGGTGATCGGAAGTTGAGTAGCCTTTTCTAAAACCTGCCTGTTCATATGGTTGGTATTCGTCTAATTTCCTTGTTAGTCGTAGTTGGGTTTTTCGAGATGTGGATTTATCCATCAATCTGGAAAATATCTGCGGTAACAATAATGTGGCATGAAGAAGTTCTACAACTGATAAATAAAACCAGAAAACCAGTTACCTGGGAAATCCTTTAATTACGAAAAATACTACATTCCCAATTAATTTTAAATTAAAAATTAAAGGATTGGTAAGACGTGGAAAAAACTGACGAGAAATATCACACAATGGACAGGGCTATGCTTCCAAAAGCTTGTCAAGTAGCAAAGGACAGTGAATGTTTTGTCAGAGTAATCGCTAACCACCCATTAACTCTTAGACGTCAGGTCTAAGAGAAAAATACAGTTAGATGAAGCAGCTACAACTAAATGATTGGTTGGAGATGCTTCTAAAAACTAATTGTTTATTTAGTTAGTAAATTATAGAAAAAGTGATTATTTATTCCATAAATAATGACTTTTGTAAACAAAAGGTTTTGTTCTCTATAAACATTTTTGTTCAGCGTTGTGGTAATGTTGATTACCGATTATAAAAACATTCCTGACTCGGTACAATATGCCAAAGTTTTGAGAATTTACTATTCACTAATCGAGAAGAAATACTCGAATTATTCAATATATTTTAATAATAGAAAAATTCAATATACTATCAGATTATCATTTTCAATACTATTTAACACATTGTGGCTGATATTTTTTTCTTCTAAAGTAGTTATTTTGATAATTCATCAAGTAAACGGTGTACCCCGTAGATTTTGTGGCTCAGCTAAATCTATGATTGTGCTTTTTGAAATCCCTTTAATGTATCGTATAAACCACTATCTTCTACGAACGAGATTTGTTCATTGCAAATTAAAAAACAACCTTTGCAATTATTTAAACGTTTATTGATATTGATGTGTTATACAGTGTGTCTCAAAAGTGATGCATAACATTCATAACTTTGTTCCTAAGAGTTTGGAAAAAACACAAAAACCAGTGGATTTTTATTTTCAACTTGGTAATTTTTCTGTTACACATCTAAATTTATTCGTTAAATAGACGTTTTCAAAAAATGTGACATCAAGGATTTGAAAGCAAATAACAAAAAATAACTTAAAACTGACATTGAGAAAAACTTTGAAACAGTAAGAGGAAGTGTTACTTCATGGGAAAATCATTACTTTCCTAGTCTATCATGCAAATGTGTTGAAAAGGCCTACGATTATGTGGACTATAAACTTAATGAGTCGTACCTTGAATATATTCTTAAAAATTGTTCATTAAGAATATACAAAAATGGAACTAAGTCAGCGGTAAAATGTATATTGGTTTTAAAAACTCACTGGGTACAAGAGAAGCTATGTGAATAATTGATTAATCAAAAATGTTATGACCTACATATATAATAATAATAATATCGTATATTATAATAACTGATTATGAAGAACGCCACGACTC